ATGTGTGCGCAGATGCCACATTGAGCAGCATGAGGAACAGGTAAACATACAGTAAGCATAGTTACAGTATGCTGTGCCATTTACTAGCTATCCCAGCATGAATCTCTTTGACACAGTGACACATAGAAACACCTATGACTCATTCAGTTGTGCTTGTCTTGTTCATCTTCATCTGGCTGCTCTGCTTGCTGGTGTCGCATTTGATGTTAGCGTAGCTAAATCTACAGATGAAGAGAAATAACGATGAACGTTAGAGAGCTGCATTTGCACACAAATTCCCGTTCATTTTTTAAATAATTTAGACTTTCTCTTTAATTTAATTTAATTCAGTGTTGAACCTGCTTCCTGTTATCAGTAATGTCAGTCAGTTTATTTATCTCTAAGAGGGTAGCTTCAAAGGTAATTTTACAGTCACTGGCTGCTGATGCTCATAAATAATGCAGAGTTTTATTGAATAGATGGTGGTATACAAATACCGTGTATATATATATATATATATATATATATGTGTGTGTACACATTTCCATACACAACATCAGGGTTATGATCTGTATACCGATAAGAAATCTCATTTAATATTACACAGTTATTACTCATGTAATAATGATCAAAAAACACTTGGCCTGTTTTTGTGTGTGTGTGTGTGAGAAAGATTAAACCCTTGTATTTGCAGCAGTGGGATACACTCATCATCTATTCCTGAGAATAAATTGTCCTACCTGCACTTAGCAGAGAAAGCTAATGAGAGACCCTTGTGCTCTTTCTTGAAGAACTCGTCGTAATCAACATCATACCTTGTTGGATAAATAGTCTAGGTTGAATTTTTTCACTTTTACATATGTTATCTGTTTCACATTTTCACTTGGACCGTTTATTTTGTTATATTAGAAACAGTAGACGACATAATGTAGAAGTTAGAGCTAAAAGGAAGCAGCGGGGATAACTCCATAACTCCATGGACGCAACAAGATTCGGATAAATTCTTTTTAGGTCAGAGTCACGTCTTATGATGTACTTTACCTAAGACCACAGCGTGGTCTGCCTTCAAATTAGATTAAATCTCTAAATCACATGATCAATCATCCATGGCTTTCTATGCCAAGATGGCGGCGTTTTCCTTCTCTCTCTTAAGATGGCACAACTTCATCCTATATCAGCAAGGTGTTTTTGGCCTGTAATTACGTGAATTTGTGTGCACTGCCTTGAGAGATAAGAAAAAATTGGAAATGAGAATAACATACTCAGGTCTGATGGAAGAACACAGACATAGACAACATGAACAGAACAATGGGGGGGGGTTAGCAACCAATAGCCTGAGGTGATAATTGAATTTGGGAGGAGATACTGCTATCCCGTAAGATACAGTCCCGTAACAATGGCAACAGACACTAAATTCCTCTGCTACTTTGTCAGGGGTGAGTCAGAAGGTGGTGGAGGGCCATGCCCCTCATTTTCTGGTAAAAAAAACAGCAGGCAAACGGCATGTGTGCTACTGTGGGTGATGATGTGTGCATGCTTCATGCATCGCTGAAGCGTGGATCTCACGCCATGCCTCTGTGTGTGCCTCCTCAAACACACCTGCTCCTGACGCCTCAGAGAAAAAGCTTGGCTCTTAACTATACAAGCAACAGAGCAGTGTCATATTAGAATAAATGGATAGTACATATTGTGATTCACTTACATGCTGTACTTTTATATATTTTTAATTTTTAAAATCATGAAACGTTTTTTATTGGGCACTTTGAAATTACCTTTCGAGCTTTTGTCTTGTCCTGGATGTTATATAGCTTAATACCTTCAGAAGAAGTCGGTCAGGCTAAGACATGTTTACCTTGTATGTTTAAGTCAAACTCAAGCTTTCTTTGTTTTGGGACACTAACCATAAAGTGTTATGGTGTATGTTTCCACTGAGCATCATAAAATGATGAATGAAGCGTCGAGGATTGCAAAAACATTTAATAGAGTCTACACTAAGGTAGTCAAAGAGCTGCTTTACTGAGTTTACATGCGGATGTCTAATGTGTGTAGTTTCACTCAGTCATCAGTCTGTCCTAAAAAGTACGCTGAGAATCTGTCCTGTGGACCGTTCTTGTTTTTAAGTTCCTTTTTTAGCTCTTTTGTGTTGGGTTAAACAGAAGTGACAGGAAATGAGGTGGGTTTTGGGTGTTTCTATGGTTTGTTAGGGGCTGCATGTGAAATGCACAATCCTTCTCTGTGTATGAGGATAGCAGGCTGGTGATGTCATGGCTGGCAAGGCCCAAACTGAGATTGTGAAGGCGTAACGCGACTGGGATTCAGAGCAGGGTCACTAACATTGTTCTGTTGAATTAGGCTGTAACGGAGGGGCAGCTCCCCGTCCCCACTTTGTTTAGTGACTCAACTTTTTACAACTAATTACGGTTTTGTTTTCTTTTTTGTGCCTGATGCCAACGATTGAGAGCTTAAAGCAAAAATATTAACAGGAATTATGGGACGATAGAGACCAGAGTTAAACTAATCATTTTATAGTTACATGGTGCTCATTTTAGCCTCCATGATAGTTGATATAGCAGAATGCTTTAACACTGAATACCAGGCTGATCACATGACCGCAGACCGCAGAAATACAGCGAGGACACAAAACGAAAGAGAGACAGCAAGAGTAGAGTAGAAAAAAGAAAGGTACAGTATGTAAATAAACTACCACGCTGTGACAGTATTGAAATCTTTCTCTGTGCATGTGGTCCCTTGACTTTTCAGTTTTTTACCTTTTTTGTTTATTTTTTAGCTTTGTCTCCCTTGAGGTTTTGAACTTAAACAGTATCTCTGCATTAGTTGTGGAATACGTTTATCTTTAAAGAGGTATAAAGTCATTAAGACAACTATAGTCTGGGGATATATTTCGGATAGGTGATTACATAACCATAAACCATCATAGAGTTACAGCTGAGGATAAAAACGCACATTCACAACTCTTCAGCTTATTGCCATTAAAGAAACAAAAAAAGGAGGAGCAAATCAGCTATGGTGTTTCACAGGAATTTTATTGGCATAATGGTGTTTATTGACTGAGAGTTGTTTCCTAGCAGAATGTGATTGAGGAGCAGAGAAAGAGTTCTTTTTTAAAGTAGGAGCTGTGAGTGCCGTGTAAACACACGCTGAGAGAGGCCCCTTTCATTAGCTATGCTAATCTGCAGGGCACGTGACTAGCTGTGGATTCCAAGGTCCCTCCTGGCTCTGTCTCTCTTAGTTTTTGTCTTCAAAGAGCCTATCTTTTCATTTCAGGTTCATTGGGTCAGTTCCGTGTGTGTTGTTTTATTCATTTCTACGCAGTCTGATTGAAAGGAACATTATCGAGCTATTGCTCAATCTTCCCATCCTGTCCTAAAGAATTTTGGTTATCTGGTACTAAAGACATACTCCTACACAAGTAGATATAAGAGTTTCTTTGCACCACGGAGTCAACTCTCGCCCCTCCTTTGTTATCCGTGCTTCAAAAGAAACAACACGAGGGATTTCTGTCTACCTTTGGATAAAACATAGGTAAAGGAACTAGCAAGGAGTAAAAAAAATAATAAAAATCTTAGACGTGAAAGAAATTGAGCATTTTGGGAATTAGATTTCACATTCTTGCCAGGAGTCAGACATAATAATAGGGAAGCAGAAGCCAGCAGCTGGCTAACTTAGAACTAGACTTAAAATAAGGCATAAGCTCCTTTATATTTCACTAACATTTCATTAACGGTTCATAAATATGTTTTATCTTATGTCATGCCATTAAAAAGTCTAAAACGAATGGAAATAGGAGACACTTTAGAAGCTTCTGGTCTAAAACAATATTGATCTTAAGCACTGAGAGGAAAGTTGAGCAGCACCAGGCTAATGATTTACACCGCTAATGCTAAGTGATCCAAAACAACTAATGAGAGCATATAACTTATATGGGTGTTTAGACCTAATACTTGAAAGGAAATTATAATTTCATTATAATTTAAACAAGGCTTTCTTGTCCAAAATTTCATCCTCTTAACAGCTGTCAGGTCAGCAGCAGCTTGCTGGGGGTTTGAGTCAAATTATATTTTAGCCAGAAGCTAAACAAACACATTTCGAGACCCTGCAAATGCACTCTATTTTGCACCTTGCATGTTTACCACAGTTCTGTAAGCATTCATATTTAGGCATGCAAAAAGGGGGTCTTAAGATTATCCTAATCCTAAACATGTCAGTGGCAAATTGGGTGATGCTAACAGGTTAAATGGTAACTAATTTACTTCCCAATTGTGATTCTTGTTTGATGTCTCGAAAAATTTATTACATAGATGAATATTGCCATGAGTATAACCTTTAAGCTAATAAACAGTTTCTTTTTAAATTTATACAGCAACTGCAGCACTATTTCAGGACTTGGCTATTAAGGGGTAATTACTACATGTTAGATTATGTCATTTACTAAAAGAAGATGAGAGGTAGAGAGCGAGTCACCTCCATTAATTAATATAATAAGCGTCGATATAAGGGGTATAGGTGGGATATTTCCTACATCACTTTGAGTCAGAAGGTGATCATTTTAAATTGCCTTAAGGTCCCACCTCCTCCCAACCCTCTCGGTTTTTAATGAAAACGGCGATTAAACTGGTCGTTCTTACACATGTAATTATTTCTTTATTGATTTGTCAGCATCTTATGGAATGGTGTTTCATAAAATATATCCCTTTAATGATAAGTCGTCTGAATTTCAACCACGAAAGAAAATCAAGAATGACTCCCCGTACCCCCCCCAGGGGAATGTGGAAATTGGTACGTTGATCTAAGTGTGTGAGTATGTTTAAGTTGGTGTGCAAATATTTGCACAAAAGTGTGTGTGTGCGCGCTCTCTGTAGTTTTTGCAGAACATCCCTCCCCACTGACACTTACTCTTGTCTAGTAGTACAAAGAGGTACTTGATCTCATGTAATGGCAGTGACTGATGGCTCTTTCTCTCTCTCCTGCCATCCCTATTCTCCCTCCTTTGCTCTTTTTAGGCTGTGAGGACGGGGGGAAGATGAGACCTCCCAGCCCTCTGATGATCCTGCTGTACATCACCCTGTCCAAGAGTGTAAAGGTGGTCTCTAAGAGAGGCTCAGGTATTTTACTCCTACTTCTTATGTGCATGCACAGCCTCTGTGTCGCTGTTTTCATGCATGTGTGTGAGTAGACTCCAATGTTTACAACTGCTAATATTAATGGTTGGCGCCACTGGCTGATTTAATTTGAAGACTTATAGTCAATTTTTATGATTAAATTGTTTTGTGTAGTTGTTTGTTAAGTTCTGTCGGTGCTAAATATCAATAGTCTAGAATTTATGTTGCAGTTATTATGACTATTAGACTGTGTTCAGCCTGTGAAAATGTATTTGTTTCTTGATAATAATTGAAAATAATCCACCACTTAATTCTGCAGTTGTCAAAAACTGGTAATAGATAGGTAATTGCTAAGAATCTAACAATGGAAAGCAGTTCACCAGTTCACGATTATTTTGATAGTCGACTAGTCACCGATTATTTTTGCGATTAGTCAACTAATCAGATCATCATCCATTGGACATAAAACATACAGCTTATTGCACCAGCATGCATCTGCTCTTACATAACTATCATTAGCTTACAGCTTTAAGTGTTTAAGGTATGTGCTAACTAAAAATAAAGACAAGATGATAGTTTGTTAAATTTTAATGAAATTTGCAGATTGTTTCGGTGAAGTTTAATAAACTCCTTGCTATCTAAAATATAACGGGACACCGGAGTATATTCTCGAGCATCTCACACTTCTGATAATCAGTTGTCTGCTTGACGTTTATTCAGCTGTGTAAAAACTATGACTTTATTCTCAGCCAAACCGATTTACTCAGGAACAAATAAAATACTAAAAAAAGGCCAAACAATAACATTTTTAAGTTATCTAAGTGACTTATATATGTTTATTAACCTGAGTAGCGAAAGACGGCGGTGGGTTTTGCTGGGAGTCCGGTGTTCTCACGGCTCTAGTGAGCCTTGCCCCCGGCTAGCTATCGAGCTAGTGGGTAACAGACGTCTCCGAAAACGTCGGGGCGCTTTTGAAAATATGTGGTGTCTTGATAAACTGAGCAGATATTTGAGGTTTATACAGCGTTAAACGTTTATTTTGTGACCCAGAAAGAATAATAAGAGTAATATTAACACTAACTAGCTGCCGCCATTGTTGGAAACTGAGCTGGGCTGCGCTATGAATTCTGGGACACAGCTTCTTCTTCTTCGGGGTTTAACGGCAGCTGGCATCCTTGTACATGCAGTGCTGCCATCTTCTGTTTCAGTCCGTTATTACACTCTTAAATCCTACTACTTATTCCTGCGTCTTTTGTGATCTTACAAAGCTTCAAACGACGCGTCGACTATTAAATCAGTCGTCGACAATCGTCGACGTAATCGTGACTAGTTGACTAATCGTGGCAGCCCTAGTGAGGAGTATGTGACTTGACACACAGATTTATAGCATAATGGAGAATTAGCAAGATCTACCTCAATAAAAAAAAGAATGACAGCTTCCAAATGATCCAACTGCTCAGTGACTGGGTCACCAAGGGTTAATATGAAACTCATTATGGCTCTAAATGCCAGCAAATTGAACATCAATTTTGAGGAAATTCAAAGGTCAAAAAAGAAAATAGAGAGCAAAAAGACTGAAAGTAGAAACTTTTCATGACATGAAGTCTGGGGTGTAAGGAAAACAGCTGACACTCAACACTCAATGTAGAGCTTGTTGGCGGTGTTGGTGATGGTCAGAAAATCCTTTCAAACATTTATTTGATGTCATTTCTACATTAAACAAAATACTTTTCTATTGTAGCTAGTAATCTAACATTAATACTTGCTTGAATCCAGAAACACATTTGTTTCATATCTATGCTACTTATGCAAAGATTCAGTGAATGAATCTTTAGGATTTGAGAGAAGAAGAAATTCATTGGTTCTTTCTCTGACCTACTGTGAAAGTATGAAATGCTTCTTAGTATAGCATGAACACCATGACGGTGGTGCCACAGCTGTCTGTGTGCATGTCCGCTAGGAACTGTAATCTGTTGGTCTTTGTGTGCTTCTTTTTACCTCTGTGTGGATGTACTGCAGCCATGCAGGCATGTCTGAAGATTTAAAACATGACCTTTAGCTTCTATATTTATAGGAAAGCACACTCCCTGGAGTGAAAGGGCAACTTATCAATGAGTATATATGCTTTAATATCCAGTTACAGGTATTGTCAGTGACACAGAATGCAAAAACACTAACCTACTAATATGAAGAAAAAATAATAAGAATAAAAACAGGATGCAATCTTTACTATTCAAACCACATTGCTGTGAGTGATACCAAGTAAAATCCTGATTAGAATTCAAATGTGTGTTTTTTGCAAAAGGAGTTATTTTAGAAGCTTCTTGGCATATTTGACTAATCACCAACATGTTAGCTAGCCAGACGGGCCAGCATGAGCTACAGTAACAATCTAATAACTTGCTTATATTCTATGCATAATTAGGCCATTCTCAGAATTGAATCATTTCACTCAATAAAAATTTGTGAACTGAAAAACCACTCCACATAAGTACACTTGTTATAGTGTCAGCACAGGTATGCACAGTCTATTCAAAATAATGATTTTACCATTTTGATAGTAAGAATATTTTAACTTGACTGCTGTTGTGTCCTGGTGGATTGTTCACATTTTTTAAATTCTACAAGAAAAAAGTATCCAAGTTAATCAAAATACATTTATGAAGGTCATGTAAGAAAATTGTGTCTGCTCGTTGGTTAAATGTGCCATTGTGTTAACTTGTATGAATTATGCATCTCATTGATTAAGTTTCAGACTGAGCGTCTGGGTTCTCCCAAACTGGATTTGAATGTCATCAACCCTTTAAATGGCTCAATGCCACATTAATATGGATAGCATAGGTGCTGTCCTTCACCTGCTCATTGACCAGAAGTTCTGTATCACACATTGTGATAATTTAGGTGTAAAACTGGTGTCGTAAAGCCAGTGTATCAACTATACCTACTTAACTAATCAACTATAGGGCACTGTGTCTTGTATATCATCTCATTTATGTGCTGCCACCCTCAACATTATACAAGATTCCCACTATTAAATACCCCTGTCGCAACCTACCAGTAGAAAAGTACCTATTAGCAATATCTATGGGAGTGATAACAACTGATCATGACCGTTTAAATAGACGACACTAAACTACTACACTCCCACAATTAACAGGAGAGCATTACTTCAATGCAGACCCACACAATGGCTGTTGAACATCTCTGATGGAAATAGGCAGGGAAAATAAGATCTAGAAAGTTTGCCAAATTTCTAAACACCCCTCGAAAATATACGATGCATATTTTATGAGTATGCAGAATTAAAATGATAAAAATGGTACATTCTTTTACAGCAGTGTTGCATTAAAGGCATTGGTAAATGCAGTCATCAAGCTACACTGAACTTTAGATCAATAACATGTAAAAGTGGTGCTTGGCCTCGTACAAGTGGTGACCTTACTTACATGCAAATGAGTATGAAAATGATAATAAAATAGTCTATTCAAAATACAGCCAGTGTCTCAGACATTCAAAGTATACTTTGTAGGTCAAGGTGAGAGCACTTATGCATTGCTAGTGATGTGTTCCACCGTTCATCTTTGACTGGATAAACCACGCCCACAAAGCCATTGTTTAAATGTTGTTTAAAAAATGAATGTTAGACAGTAGGTTAAATGAATTTCAGTCATCAATTTGATCCTTTAATCAGTTTTGTAAGTGCACAACAAATATTTATTCTGTGTTATTATTATCAATCATTTTTCTGTCTTGTACATAATTACAAATAAGATTATAACGAGTTCTCTGTGTTATGCTTAGAGTACAGTCAGTCAGTGAGTGACTAAGTTGAAATTGCTTGACTCCATGTTTTTGCTTGTGTGTCCATTTTGTATGACCCTATCCACATATACTAGTACCTGTGTGTTTGTATGATTTGGTCTGTGGAGGATTTTGGCATAGATCAGGGTCAGGATAACACATCCGGTCAATCGCGTATTCCTCTGGGTCCTTCGGTCAATTATTGATGGCGGTAAACTCAATATTACCTCTCAAGTGTGGGGTCAAAGACGTCTGACTGACAAAATGAAGGTAAGCTAGCCTTTTTCAAAGACTGCGCTCGCCTCTCTGCCAGCAGCTCAAAGGGAAGCCTGAAAGATTATAAAAAGATTATCAATTAAGTCATGGGGAAAATCAAGCTCACAAAATGGACACTGTCATTTTAGCTCCATTTTTTTCTCTGTCTCACACAAACTAATGGAACATCCAGCAGTACTGAATTTTGATGGTAAATCCATCAATAAATAATGCCTTTTTTATTTGTGTTCAAAAAGAATAATGAAAAAGAGTAAATAACTCATTGCTGCAAGTTTGTAAGGATAATATTAGTGTAGTTGCTTGCATGAAATTAACATTCCATTCATTATTTACCCTGAGCAAAATTCTGTTGTTTTTGCATCTGTTTTTCTAAATGGAAAATGGTGCTGAAAAATTAATCTTTTTACTTACCTATTTATTTATTCTTTTATTTTGAATAATTGATTTTGTCCGAAGAAAATTCAACTCAAAAATGGTTTAATTGAAAAATGTATTTTCCTGCACCTTCAGCTTTGATCACTGGCTGCTGACAAGCTGAAGGGAATTGAGGTTAAAGATGAAATGTAGTGGTACAGAAGATTAATTTGCAGATAAAGCCACATGATAGGTGATTGTTTTCTGGCTCAGAGGTTTGGGATATTTATCTTCTTGGGCTGGAGATAAAGAGACTGAGCACACGCTTCCATGGCTGCTCTCAAATTAACAAATCACCATCCCTGAACTGGGTTTTCCAAACCAGTCCGAAACAGAAATTTTGGAAGATAAACTTTGAGACAAAGAAAGAAAAGCTTGGGCTACTCTTCTAATGAATTGTTTGTGGGGCATTCTCTTTCCGATGGGAAAACTCTATTGTTTTCATAGGGTTACAGAAAGAAGAATTTGACTCCACAACCTTGAATAGTTTCGGGTTAGAATCAGTTCTGAGG